AAATATCATAAAATATTGATGATAAAAATAAAGTAATAAATAATTGAAAATCCACATTCTTGGATCCATCTATTTTGAGTTGATTAGGTGTGTTTAAGGTACTGAATTATTTTTTTGCTCTTCATGGAGATTTAAGTATCGAAGTAAGGAGACTGTGTCATAGCGCTCGCGTAGTTTCTGTAAAGCGACCGTTGCAGCAGAAAATCTAGCGACCTTTACGACTTGGAGTCTCTCTCTATTGCCAAATAACTGTTAATGCAGGAGTTATCACGGAACATAAATCGTTCATGTACGATACTACAAAATTCTTCTCCGCATGCAAAATGCAATGTATTACGGATTTTAAACGTGTATTTCTGAGGTTGTTTATAACCCAGGGTGCGAATTTACGAAACTTGGACGCCGCTTGGCAAGCACCTTTTCGACGTTTCGCATTATTTCGTGACCTTTGGTAGGACAGAAATGCCTTCGCACATCCAGAGTAGTAGAAATAATGGAATTGAAATAAATTTGTATAAAGAAGAGAGTCTTTGTACAGTATGTGTTTTATGATTATTATTGATAAACTGGGTAAGTACTACCTCCTATTTAAAATTATATCTCCTGGTATTCAAATGTGTCTGACTGCAGAAGCCTGTGATTTCATGAGCGTAAGTTCTTGCAAAGCTGCAACTGAATTATCGAAAAACGGGAGGTCCTATGAGTCTCGAGGGTAGGGGAATTATAGGGGTAGTAAATCACAGCATGGATTGAATTACAGAGGCTGGCTGCTTTGAACAATGGTTTTCATGTTTGTGGGTGTTTTTGATGTTTGTACATTTGTCTAATATTTATTGCTTAACCCCATCACGTGCCGATTTGTTGGCAATTTTCAAATTTCGCTAGTTGGCATACTATCAAATAAATTTTAATGGAGAAATTTCAGAACTTATCCGTGTAAAATTAGGAGTGTCTCAGGCAAGCATGTTTAGACCTTTACTTTACTTACTTTGTATCACTGATATTCCAACTTCTGAAAATGCATTGACAGCAACCTTCGCAAACGATACAGCTGTTTTAGCACCGTACGAAAATTCAGCAGAAGCACCTCCTTCAGTAGAGGAACATCTGGAATTAATTCACAAGTGGCAGAAATACTGGTTCCTCCAGATTAATGACAAAAAGTCTGCGCGCAATCTTCAGTCTGAAGCACGAAACAAGTCTTTCAATAAAATTTGGATTGCAATCTACTCCTCAAAACGACTCTGCAAAATATCTTGGAATCTCTCTAAACAGATGACTCGCATGGAAAAATCACATTTAAAATAAATGAAAAGAGTTAGACCTAAAACTGACTACTAGGGAGGAAATCATCTCTAAGCATCGAATAGCTAATTGCGCGAAAAACTGTGTTAAATTCAGTCTGATCATTCAATATATAATTATAATCAAAACTCTTTAAAAATTCAAATATTACAACGCGTCCAATCAATAAATTTGAGAAACGTTGTATACGCCTACTGGTATGTAACAAACGGAACTACACAGGAATATTTGCAGATCCCGACTACACAAGAAGAAATGAAAATATCTTCAATGGCTATGTAATCATTGTAGGGCCAGGCGATGGCCTTATCCCCTGTCATTATAGATCCTATCAGCCTGGATCTAGAAATATTCCGATAGGACTGAGAGTTGGCGGATATCAAACTAACGCGAAGGGGGTGGCTGCAACCAAGGATAATGAGGACGATTCTTTTATTAAAATGTGGAACATACGAGAAAATATTTTGATATATGAATGAACCGAGCTTGCACTAGTATTTACTGACATTTTTGTAGTACATACAGCAGGGCGCATGATTAAAATTATTGGAAATTCGTTGAACTTTGACGGTCAGAACTGAGAGAAGATATCATTGTGATTAGACACATGTTCACGCTACAAATTATGAAGTGAAAAGTAGAGTTAAGTATTACTTTTGTCTACGGCCATCCTCTTTAGCTCAGCAGACGTGAAATTCCACACAGAGGCAGAATAACTTGCAGAACAAAATCCGTCAAGATCGACGTATAAACACTTTTTAAAAATAAACTTTTTTATGAAATATAAATGGAATAGTACATGTATTACATGTACTAATGAAATAGTATAAATGAATTACAAAATTACAACGATAAGTCAAGCACAGAGAAGAGTCAATGAAAGGAAAGTCAAATACAAACAAAAAAAATTAAAAATGGAATAAATTGTGAAAAATCTGTTAACGGAAAAAAACTCTGTATAGACAAATGATGTTTTATTAAATCATGGTATAAAACCATGTAGATTGTGTATATGTAGCTAATGGCCTTGTTGTTGATGTGAAAAAATAAAATAATTAATTTAATAAAAACACTACATTTCGTCTAGTGCATTGCTTTAAGGTAACCTTAATTTAGCATTTAAACAACACTAACTGAAGTAATTCTTATGTTTAAAAGTTGGTTTTATTTTATTAATTTGTAGCTTTTAAGTGTGTCTGTGGAAATTACATTAATAATAAAAGCGAGTTCCGACTTAGTCACTATTATGTACTCGTTTTACTCCCTACCATTTCTGAAATTCTCTTAAATTGCTTCTGGGAAATTTCGCGATATTTGCAACCAACGTGTACCTGCTCTCTCAATTACCCAGCTGAATATGCGTGCGTTTGTGCGTGAGAGGCTGCCTCTGAGCTGTAGTCACGCTGCTTTGCGTTGCATAATAAAAGTGCACACACATTTCTCTAGGTCGTTTCGAGTATCCAACGTCTTCGCGAAGTGTGCTTGAAATCTAACATATTGACTTTTCGCGATTGCTTTTAGGTTTCAAATACGGATACAAGATGTGTGATTGCAGCGCTAATAAAACTTGCACAAAATCGTTCCTAATTACTGTGAATACACTTCACAGGGACCGAAAATGTGTGCATAAATATTTGAAAATTTATGAAATTGAGGTACGAAAGTATATTAAATATTTGTTTTGTATAACAGCATTATAAACGGCCTTTTCAGTTGCAAGAAATCATTCATAATCTGGCATATTACGGCACAAATGATGACGTATTAGATTTTATGGCACGAATGATTGCGTCATCATACAATCAGCAAATCGTAGCGAGAGAATCGTGGGGAGGTAGAGGTAAGGGGAAGAGCAGATCCCAGTTTTCTCGTTCAAGTCGCTCGTTTTCAAAACATTTACTCATGCGATAAAGGTTAACATTATAAAATAATTGCATAAACTCCTAGAATCGACTGCGTTAAGCTCAGGGTCAACATTGGAAATATCTTTGCAGTGCCATACCTGGAGGTCCGAGGTTCGAATCAGATTTTCGGCACTACCTATGTTGAATTCAATTGCTTGGAAGAAAATTCTAGACGCTGGCTGTTCTGATCGGTAGTTTTCGGAGGTTTCTCCTATCAATACCAGGTGAATGCCGGAGCAGTACCCTAACAAACGGGCCATGCACTGCACACGACCTTTCCTTCAACGGCTGAAGTGGTACTTCTCGAGTTTCATCCTGGGAACTGCAGTGTTTCATCTCTGCGCCACCGCTGAACCCACCTTCCGGAGCGCAAGGGAGAGCTTGAGGCCTGCAAGGAGTCTCGTGGGAGTCGTTTTTTAGAGGGATCGAGAAGGGAGGTGGGAAGGGGAGGGGAGAGGGGAAGAGAGCGTGAGTGGAATCCTCAACGAGAGCGGAATATCCCCATAAAGCGCTCCGCCTCCTCGGCCCCGCTGCCACCGCCGCCTTCACGAGAACCTTTTGCCGCTGCTGCGGACACTGCCGTTGCTGCTCCTGCCGCGGCTCCGATGGAACGGCCACCATTATACTCCAATTTATTTTAATGTGGCCGTTGAGAATGTAAATGAGAAAAAAATCTAGTGGGCTATTTTGGGGACAAAGCTGCGGTTGCGGCGGGAACGGAGGAGGTGGAGACGGTCGAGGTAGGAGGACGGCGGCGCCAGCGGTGAGTTTACTGGCGTTGGCAATGGTGCTATTGGAGCAAAACGGGGGTCTTTACTTCGATTTTGTTTCAAGTGGCCGATTACATTAGGTCATTGTTACACCTCCTGCCGTATGAAATGAATAATTTTAATTAATTCGCGAACGTCCTCCTCAACGGAGTTCGTGACCTCAGAAATGTGCTTACCACTGTCAAAAAGATTCATTTTATGGGGCAGAAGGTGTAAGAATCGCCTAATGTCATCGGACACTTGAAAATATCAAAGTAAAGACCCCGTTTGGCTCCAATAGGGACATCGCCAACGCCAGTAATCTCACTGCTGGAGCCGCCGTCCTCCTACCTCGACCGTCTCCACCTCCTCCGTTCCCGCCGCAACCGCAGCTTTGTCCCCAATATAGCCCACTGGATTTTTTCTCATTTACATTTCCTGTTTCGTGTCAATAATTAGTAATTATACAGGGAAAAAGCAAATATTTTGAAGTAAGTGCAAAACCATAGCCATCAACCTGAAAACTACAGATGCATACATGGACTGCAAAATGACCAATGCGTACGGGCTTTAAAATATGCTTATTTACATGAATATTTAAAATTGACCAATAGAAGGAGAATCTTCTGGTAAATCCACATGTTATGTTGCACGTAATCAAATACATATTTTAATATTTCATCTTTAGAATCGTATTACCTGCACATCGTATTTTGTTACCGTTTCGTAGAGTAAACTAGCCATAAAAGGCAACACATAAAATGGCGCCTTTGATTCGCCGTGTATAACGTGATAACGAAGCTGCAGTTAGTTTTGCATGCAGCGTTACCTTAATAACCGTAGTAATCTTCCACGAATAAGGGCTCTCTCCGAATAGGGAGCGACAACTATTTCACTACATCTTAAGACCCCAGTGTCCTTACATCATAGAGCATGCAAGACAAGACTTTTCACTTGGCCCACTGTGTCTGTGTTCCCGCAGCAGACTACTAGGAATTTTGAGATTAGTGCGTTCCGTTGGTCAGAAATCAAACTAGAGGAAATGGAACTAGAAGCCCTGTCTGGTCGTCGGTAAGTTTTAATAAACGAGATCAACCATATCGGCATTACCACATCCAGTACTCTACACTAACAATCTTATTTTGCCATGATTAAGTTAATGTACTCTTCACCTCTAGGTTTTTGCACTTTTTATGAAGGCTCATAAATCTTTCGGCTATGTAATTGTTTCTGCGAAAAGGCGTTACACACACATCTCCCTTCCACCGTTTCCGTTGCGCCCGACGTCCTTGTAGGACTCCACATCCGCTTTACTGTAATTAATGTGAGAAATTCGAGCATATAAACGAATGAAATGAATTCCATTCATCAAAAGTATGGATAGGACGAAATGATAACACACCTCCGCTCGAACAGTATTCGGCGAGGAAGGAAAATATGAACTAAAAGAATAGCAAAATTACGGTGTAACTCTTGGCTCCATGGTAAAGGTCGCACCTTTTCTCGTACATCCAGGAAACTACCGCTTTAGCATGACCGACATCGCAACCCAACACTCACACCATCCATGTTACCTTATTCGGAACGTTTTTCTCGAAAATCGGGAAATTTATAGGGAGACAATGGAGAAAATAGAAACTTGTGGAAAAGTTTGGGAAACATGATACGAGATACATAAACTCGCTTCTCGCTGGGGCGCACAAATACTGCTTTTTAGAGCTTAGAGCGCACCATTTTCGAGTTATGCACGATTGGTACACTTTTGCGGGAGAAGTGATTGCACATGGCTGACATCACATAGGAGAGAAATGGCTACACTTTTCTTTTTCTTCCATGGCCTTTTTCAAGCTTCAATGGATGCCGGTTTCAACTATCCGCGCCCTGTACACACTATGTCCCTCATGGGTTCACATTAATCTTTACACAAGACAGACAAACTATCAGGCTCCTCGGTCGGGGGTCAGCAGACTCACAAGGCCTTCCTTGGCCACACTCACATGAAAGACAAGGGGACAATCACGACGAGATTCGAACCTTCGACCCTTCCGACCGAGGCGCTGAGTTGGCACCCACTCTAGCCACTTTGGCCATCCTGGCCAGCAGAGACGGCTACACTGAATGCCACCTAAAAAACATTCACTTCCACATTTTCGTCAGGCAGCCTAGACCAAAAAAATACATTCACATATCGTGTAGAAAACATAAAATAACAATGAAAGAATATTTACGTAGTCAAAACAAAATTCTAAAAGAGTTCAATGTTTAGTTTGCGTTGGGCCACCCGACGTTTTCTGAACAGGGATTCTAAGCGGAGTAGAGTATCCTGCGCACCCGCAGTGTCCTTTGTCGTGCTACTCGCTCGCCATTTAACGGTCGTCGACTGCACAGATATCTCGCGCCAACTGTTACGTGGATGGCAATGTAACGTGTGTTGTAGGTTGCATGAGCATCTGCCGGTACAATATATATATATATATATATATATATATATATATATATATATATATATATATATATATACAAATTTCATGTCAATCCAAACGTCCCGTTTCAATACTGTTTGTTGCACAAAGTCGATGATAATTCCAGTCTAGAACATAGTCTAGAAGTAGTACATTTACAGGATCTGGTCGATGACAGTCTAATAATTCTTAAAATACTCTTATCTTTTCTTTGTGTATCATATAGAGAACATTATAGTTAGTGTAATTTGACATTTTGATGTGATTTATTTTTTAGTATAATTTGGCATTTTGTTAAGTAAAATTCTGTAATAGAATGCATGGATGGAGGGAAAGTGAATTGATTTTTTTAATTTCATCTAATGATAAATACACTCTTCCTTAGAATATTATTAATCGATCTAAATGAAGCAAAACAATATTTTAATATTAGCGGAAATTCAACTATCGGATCTGCCTTTATTTGTAAATTACACGAAATATTTGTTTTGGAGATATTACTTTCGATCTACCTGCCAACATTTTCCGACACAGGAATTATCCCATCCTCTTAAACATTATTACCGTTACCCATTACCGGCGCCGTCCCGGATTTCGCCAGTTCCGGTTCTTCTCTTTGCTTCATCACATGCTTCATCATGAATTTTTAATCGTTCATGTCCTTGCTGGTTCTTCCTTCATCTCATTGTCCCTCTGTTCATCGCATTGTTTTTTATTCACCTCCTTCCCTCATATTATACCTCTGAGGCTCACGTGGGCCTTTTCCCGCC